AGAGAGAGAGAGAGAGAGTTATGTAATCGTAGGTTCTTTACGTGCATTGCGAAAGAAAATTTGTAACTCCGTTAATTCTTGTATGCCTCTCCTAATATCCTTGAATAAATATTCCTATTTTCCAGAATTCCTGATTTCCTTACGATTTCCTACTGTCCGAATATCCTAACCTGTGAATAAGATGGCTACAGTATACGATTACCTACTAGACAATTGTTTATTAATGAAATACCATTACGCCATATTCCTTTAAAGACATTTTTGTCTGATACTCTTAGAAACTTATTTTCCTAAAACAATCATTTTATGAAACAAATGCTTATTATCCTTTTCTTAACCTGATAAAATGTTTATAAACGCGCCAATGCTTTTGGCCAAACATATCCATCATTAAATGCTTTTTGAAACATTTTCGTCAAACATACCCGTCCGTTTATCAGTATTTTTATTAATGGTTCTAAATGAAGTAGTAATCGTACAAGGGCTTAAACATAAGTTTTTCGCATATAACAAGTTAAAGAAGTAAACATAATTTCCATATTAATTCTTTTTCACTATCTGAGTTCAACGGACACAAGATTACAAGTTGAGAAGTTCGTTTAAATTTATATATGAGATTCAATCACATCGTGAAACATGGTTTCACTGAAGCTACTGAATAAGAGGATGACGTGACATTTTTTCCCACGTTAATCTCCTTCATTTCTATTATTCATGACTCAATATTACTTCACTTCTTAGTGTAACTGATTCGACCGCTGTCTCATGTTTCACTTTAAAACGTGACTGTTTGGTTTTGAATTCATTTATAAAACTTGTATTTTGGCAGCTGTCTTATCATTGTAGTGTAGTTACGGTTTTTTCAGTTTATTGAAATGCATGACGCACCAGCATTGCGGATATTTCAACGTGCTCGAATATGAACAGTTTGAGCACGTTCGTCGACGCATGTGTAACAGGTGAGTCTCTGTGTCTCTTGAATCGGTTAATCAGTAGAATTAGTTTTTTTTCATGCATTGGTGACAAAATACAATATAGAATAATATATTATATCAAACTACAGCTGCGACAAATAAATCAAAATATAAATAAAATTTTTCATATGTTGATTTAACCCTTTGGCTGTAACGCGTATTAAAAGTAAAATAAAAGAATTTATTTTCTAAATTAAATAATTTAGATTGTAGAATTAATTAGATGTACGTATACGACTTTCATACATATTAATAAATATGTGAAAGCGTGTCCGCGTTTCAAAAAAAGGATCAATGCAGGTTATCATTCTTTGCAAGTTTATCTATAGCTTCACGATTTTTTAAATGGCTTTTATTCTAACTACAGTTTTATTAAGTTATTTGGAAAATGCGTATCATTTTAGATACAACTTTATCATTAAATAATATAAAGGAATCCAATTTATCACAGTTATAAGCCAAAAATTATGATTTTTGGTCATTTATGATTCATAGCTACATTTACCGATTGCCATGAACTTTTCAAAGTGCATTTAACTCTCGCATACTAAAAGTAGTTTGTATATTTACATCATTAACTAAAATAAAAAGATTTCAAAAACTGTTCTTTCCCGTTGTTGTTACGACTCAAACAAATTACACTTTTTCAAAACAGCATCTAATAAACTAATTTTTCTAATTGTTTAAACAGTTTAAATCGTTTGGCACAATTTCAGAAAAAGTTTTACTGTTTTAAAAATTCGCTTAATGTATCTATTATGTACTCGCTGTATAAATATTCGGTCAGCGCATATGAAATGTCACATTTTCAAATTATGATCATATGCACCGCTCTTAAAATGAAAACGAAACTGTGTTGACTCATTATAAAATTGCTTTTATACTGTTGCAAAATTCCTTCAAGGCTGCGGTTACAGGATACAATAGAAGCATTTTCTGGTAAACTAACATTCTGTCGAATACATCAGAATAATTGTGTAATAAGTTCATATGAATTCATACTTCACACGTTTCGGAAAATATCATGAGACTACAGAACTATGAAGCATTATGAATTATGATAAATTTTCTAATTGGATTCTGATGCCGAACATAATACTGTAATAATTGAAATATAAATCAATGCAACATAAAGTAAAAAAAAAACTTAATGGCTTTTATGTTTTGTCTCGGATGACTTCCATGCTCACTGTACAGTTTTTATTGATGGAGTTGTTATGAATGTTACCTTGATTTCTTTTCATACTTTCACTGTTACCGATGTCACATACTTTATCTTCCACTAATTGTTTTGATAATACTGCTGATGTAATTTTTTTGCGCACAAAAATTCCCTATATAAAGACCAACGATTAAAAAAAAAGCTTCCACTTATCTCCTTTAATTCCGAAGATATTCCCAAAAGAATGATTTCAGCCCTTAACTTTGAGGGCTATTTTTACTCCTTCAATGTGAACGATGACCGATAAAATAAAATACGTGCCAAATATTTTCTTGAGAACTATCTTTCACATAAGTTTCACTAAAATCGGTGTGTCCCGGTTCGATATGTTTCTTTGTCAGTAATCAACAAAACATGCAGAAATGAACTTATTACGAATTTCAGTACTATTTTTAACCGACTTCAAAAAAGGAGGAGGTTACTCAATTCGATCAGTATATTTTTTATTTTTCTATGTGTGCCCGCCGATTACGCCTGGCTGGATGAACCGATCGGAACGAAACCTTTTGCATTTGGTAGGTTCTGACTCCCCATTGGTACCATTATCAAAAAATTTTTCATTTTT